TGTATGCACCCATGCATCCATCTATAAAAACAAGCATTTCAAGGTAAAAGCTAATAATCTATATATATTTATCATCCATCCATCAATCTATTCATCCACCGATGGATTTAAAGTCATTTGAATTCTACTTCTATAAATTCCATTTATTTATTTATTTGGAATTTAAAAGTAATTTTCAATGCAATTCTGAATGTTGCACATCCCTGGTATTCAGGCAACAATTTGACCTTGGCTACATCTTCACTGTCATGGCCAGTGTGAAGCAACAGTATCCTTCACTGTCAAATTCAAGGCAAGTTCAGCGCAATCAAATGGAACTTGGCCAAAAATGCTACGTCAAAGTATGAAAATATGTGTTCATTATGTTAGAATAAGAACATTATTTAAAACACTTTTAATAAGCAAAACATTTACTAAATAGAAAAATCTCATTTAGAACAACATCACAGGCCACAACAATCAAAGCCATTCTCGTCTTTGTTTTACAACTTTCTTGGGGCAAAAAGCACTTTTGCCCCTTTCACTAAATAGGCTGTTTATAATTCAAAGCATAAACTTTTCCTGGTCATATATCGTCTAGCTGTACTGTTGCTGTGTTTTCTTTCCACTGTAGGGTTATATAATGTGAGTGAGGGCCTCTGGGTTTGGCTGAGGTCCAGTCCCACACAGGCCTCTCTGTGCTGCTTTTTCCTGGATCCCTCCAGCTGCCTTTATCACCCCAGCAGCTGACTCCCTCACATGCCTCTCTGTTCCTAATGAGGGCTTTTTGGGCAAGAATTGTGCCGCTTTCTTGTTTTACTTCTTTCTTTCCCTCACTCACTTTCTCTCGTTCTCTCTTTCCAACTGCCAACCAAGCCATTTGTTATCCTTGTTTTGGCTGCAGAACAGGGCAAGTCCAGCTGACACACACCTGCTTAGTGGCTGTGAACAGGGCAGCTTTAGAAACAGCGAAACAACGTCTTTCTAAGTGGGCCAAATCTCTATCCAAATAGAAACAGAGGACTTTTTGATGCATAAGGAACAGCAGCTTTTTATCAGCTGAGCTGCGTTTATCAGTCCAACTGCCATACGCCCCAGTAAAGAGTGTTTATCAGATTGCTGACAGCCTGTGTAAAAATTCAAATTCAAACCTGAAATGTGTTACTCCCCAGTTTTGCAAATCCTTGATTCCTTTCTGTTCATCATGGCCTAAAACGCTTAATGTAAAACCCAATCATGTGCAACGAATTGGCAAAGTACATTAATTTGGCTCAGTCCCAGATGTTAATAGGAAGCTACACCAACTTTATCCAGTGTGCTAATTAAAATGTGACTCGCACCAAGGGTTAAAATCTCTGAGGGAATCATTAGAATGGGGCTGAAATTAAACCAAAAACCTGTCCTTCTATCCATCAACATAGCACACAACCAACTTTTTTTTCCCACAAGGCATCACTGAAAATGACTGTGAGGTTCAGTTTACCAATCTAAAGCTAAAATAGTTCACATCTCTGAAAACATCAAAGCAATTTTTCAAATAGGTGCTATCTTTATAAATAAACCTCCTCTGCCATGAGAAATGCTACAAGTAGATTATATTATATAGATTATTATATAAAAACCTTTGCTTAAAAATAAATTGAGAGAGAAATCGACATTTCTAGGTATTCAAAACAATACAAAGAGAACTGGTTAAGGGCTCAAACACATCCCAAATGCTTTTATGTACAAAAATGTCTGTACATTTAATGACTTAAATATGAAGGAAAAAACACTGACATAAATTCATTATTTTACCTGTTTGTGGGAATTTTGAAAGGTATTTTTAGTTGTCCAGAGAGACTATTGATGGTACACACATCAGAGAAGCATCAAAAGCATTCATGCAGAAAGATGCTTGGTGGCAGACTCGAGTAGCGCTGAGACATTACAAGTGACTTTGATAACGTTAATACTCCATATCGCACTACAGTGGCACAGATACACTGACAGCCCAGCTATTTTAGGCAACACAAATAAAGAGCAGGTCAACTGCGGGTGTGTGGAGGGAACTGTCAGCTCGGAAAGACAATTGGGCTTGATGGAAGAGCTGGTCCCAGCTGGGTGTAAGAATACCGGGGAGATGGAGAGACAGGAAGAGATGGTGAGACTGGTAAGAGAAAAGAAAATGGAGATGGGGGAGGGATCAGGGACAGGATCAGCAGGAAACAGCTGAGGCAGAAGGTACGGTGATCCATCACATCCTGACTAACTGGCTCAGGTGCTCCACATCCTCCCAGACATGTTAGATAAATGATGGGCTCTCGGGGCTGAAGGGGCTTAGAAACTGGAGTTTTACGTCCCAGTGGATTCATACCACCTAGTGACCAGTCATTTTTTTTAATTTTCATTTTTTTGGGGGCAACTGGGGAAATTTAAAGGGGGAACTATGTCGATGTGAAAGCGCTGGCTACTGCATTTTTATTTAGCTGATCTGCAAACAAATCTGAGGGCTAGAAGGGAGAAAATGACCTTGAGAACATCGAACCAGTTTGCGTGCTTAAAGCAGGGCTAATAAATCCTTGCTGTTCTCATGGGGATGTAAGAGCCCATCTGACAACAGTCACCTCCTTGTGTCCTCTCCATAAGACCTTTTTTTCTCTTTTCTGAAACACACAGCATTGTCTCTGAGGGTTTACACCAGTATCGATCAGTTTTCATCTTCCTCAAAGAGTCACTGCTGAATATAAACGACTGCATGACCTATATGTTTAATGCATCTGTATTCTTTCAGCAAGCCTCAGGAACAATTCACTCTACAGAAGAAAAAAGGCGAGCTTTCATTCTTCTTGAACATCACAGCATCCTACAGGGTGTTGGGGGTTTTATTAGGTACTGCACTCTTGTGTTGAAGATTATACAAAAATCAACCTGTGGTCAATGATCAAACATTGGCATGTGAAGCTGGTATTGCTCTCATTCAGGATCCTGGTGCTGCCTGGAGAGTCTTGTGATTCGTGAAACAGCTTGAAGGAAAATCCCAATCAGAAAGCCATTAACCTACCATGTACTTTATATGGAATCTATATTTAAATCTATACTCTGTGATCTACAAGTATTGAATGGCGATATGGCAAACCAAGGGATCAGATTAATCCGTTTTTCAATTCAAAACGTTTATTCTTCCTCCAAATTCACCTCCACACAACGTGCTTTTAATCAATTTTCAGACACTTTTATCAAAAGCATACAGCGAATCCAAGGTATTAATTTAATCAGTATCTGAATAGTATGTGATCTGAACCCAAGAGCAATTTCCATGCTCTATAACTTCAGCTTTATATACAGTATATATATATTATAAACAATGAGATAAAATTAAAATTATGAAGTATTCCGTTATCTCATTGTTTTATATTTATTATATATTTTATTCTATTCAGTTTTAAATACTTTCTTATAGAAAAAACTTCACATATTACATATTAGTTTAAAATATTTTAGTATTAAAACAGTAACACACATTATTAAAGTATATTAAAATAATTTATAATATATACTCAATATTTCAGAATTACATCCTAAAAATAAAACAAAAGAATAAAATAAATGCACAATATACAAGTAGAAATGTAAAAATATAATATAAATTCTACTCTGAAAATACACTTCTTTCAATTATAGAAAATTACTTTGAGTGAGAAAAACATTTATCTTCAATGCTCTTTGAAGACTGTTTATCCAAGCCTCAATCAGAAGAGTTTTCATTCAGTTTCTCTGAATGCCGTCAGACATCACTGAGCGAGGGGAGGAGGACATTGGTGATTGGTGCTGAGTCAGCAGGAGCCGTCTGGTCACCCCAGAGAGTCAGTGTGCCTCAGACTGTCAGGACATTCTCACTGCCTCCACTCCACTACAGGTCTGTGAACAGAGAGAGATGTAAAAGCATCCCTCTGCTGCTATAACTTCAGTGACAAGTGCTTTAACAGGGGTTGAGGTGCTACGGTGTGACCATGTGAACTTTACAGGCTGCTGAAGCCCAAACAAGCACGCTAATGTAACACAACACTAGGCAAACACCTATCGTAAATCATGAGGTCATTACGTGCTCATCATTGGAGCTAATTCTGTAGTGGTTTAGCCATTACAGCCACATTTATCATTCTCTTGCAAATTATATACAAGTGACAGGTGCTTCATTCCTGACCCGACTCAACCTCAGCTTGGGGCAGCCAGGGCCAGAATAATCAAACTCAGATTGACCCGCGCGACGGCTGTTGAGTCAGCACACTGGCACACATTAAGGGTTAATTTCATGAGGGCTTATTAAAGCATTCAGGCCAAAGGGCCATAGCGATGAGGGAGTGCCTTCGAAAGGTCAAGATGACGTTCCTCCCATCCTTTTCATTCAGTGGACCAACATTCAGCAGGTCATCAGTCTGCATGTCAGATACAGAGCCCATTCTGATGTACCCATCAACTAATCCGATTTTCTGCTTGATTCTAATGTCTTTTCAATCAATCCGTGGTCTCTTTCTTCTCACATTATAACAAATCCTCAAAACTGTATTGTGAAATATTACAACTTAAAATAATTGTTCATTTTTAATATATTGTAAAATGAAATTTATTCCTTTGTGATGGCAGTGTTGAATTTTCTGCAGGCATAACTCCAATATTAAGCGTCACATGATCCTTCAGAAATAATTTATTAATGTTGAAAACAGCATTTTTTTTTTTATAATAGCTGCTAAACTGTATTATTATTATACATTGCCTTGTTATACTCCGTCAATCACATGCTCTCTTCTCACATAAAAACATAACAAAAAACAACATTTCAAGTCCATTTATGTATCTATTTGACAAGTAGCAGGGTAATAGTCAGACGATCAGTGTAACAAAAAACAAATAAACCCGTTCAGGGGCTCAACCTGATCACCCTGTCAGGGTTTATTCAGTGATGACCAACTGACTTATACATTACCTCTTACATATTTCATTAAAACAAAGTAATAGTCTTGGCGTTGGGGTTACATTTGTAATTTTACATTTCACGTCTCTGTAAATGCACCAACACTCCCCCAGCAATAACAATAGACAGTAATTCATCATATGAGGGTCTCCAGGAATACAAAGAGGAAGAGCGTAGATATGAAATCTGAGCCGAGCGGTAGACGAGAACCTAGAGGTCAGGACTGAAATCATCTGACCTGATCAATAATTAACCAAGGTCACCTTTAATGACAGCGAAGCAATGTGGCATAAATTATTCATACAAATCATTGTATGAAACAACAGTGGTGGAGAGACTGTGAAAGTGAGCCTAAGATGATGGATAAACAGAAAGACCAATAGTCTCTCTGGATCTCTCTCAAGAGACATCATTTTTATACTCTTGTTGGTCACATCAAAGGAATGTTGTGTACACATGAAAACCTGAACAGATTTGGTCTGTGATGCAGCAAATTCCTCTGAAGTTCCCATTCGATGAATCACCAGAGCTGGAACCTGTAACTGCAGTTCACTCAAATGCCACAAGAGGTTCAAAGAGACATTCATCTTAGAGGAATCGAAGTGAGCCAATCTCCACAGGAAGGTGTGCAGTGAGAGAGGACGGAGTGTAAATGCCGGCAGTTGTGTGCGGCGGGACCTCTCGCGCTGGAAGGCAAAAGAGAGGGAGTTTGAGCTAAACTGGACTCTTTGTTCATATCCCACATGGCAGAAGGGGATTTCCTTGCTCTCCCTCACTCTGATGCACTTTCACTACACTAAACACACGGGGCACAGATAAATGATGCAATGTCAAGCAATCCAGAAGGATCAAGGTGCCAGAAAAAAAGTACATAGTCATGACTCTGCCGGCACCCTGCTAACCCTGTGATGAACCCTCATTCAGCCAAATCTTGGATTATGGATTGCAAACATTTCGCAATGTATTGCTTCAGACAGTAATATGATAAGTGGGTTTTTGTGCAAAGACATCAAGTTTTGTGCATTTTCCTGCAATGCAATGCCAATCACATTTCACATCTTGTACTAATTGTTTTTCTGTTGCATTACTGTATATACAATGATGCTCAAAAGTTTGGGGTCAGTAAGATTTTGAGAAATAAGTCTCTTATGTTCAACAAGCCTGCATTTATTTGAACAAAAAGATAGCAAAGAACATATTTTAAAATGTAATTTATTGCTGTAATGGTATAGCTGAATTTTCAGCATCGTTACTCCAATCTTCCATGTCACATGATCCTTCAGAAATCATTCTGACAAATAATGCATACAAAAACTTCAGTAATGGCCATAAACTCACTTACTACACCCCAATAAATGTGCTTGGTGTACTGTTCTCTATTAACTAAGCCTTTAGTGGGAACAAGTTGCAGAACTATATTTCACCATCTATTTTATAACACTCCGCAGAGGCTGATCTAGAGGGGTGATTTCAGAACACTTCAGGGACAGGAAGAGCTGAACAGAAGCTATAAATGCTTAAGTGACAATCCATCTTTCTAATTACACTTCATTCAATGCATCAACATTCCCTTCAGCACCCTCATTTGTCCATTACTCTGAGCCATCAGCACAGCTGGTCTTACAGGTGGCAGCAGCACGTTGTGACATTACATCAGACTGTCTCCAGAAATACATTGCCACATTGGCCTTATGCAAAGACTGTACATCATTATTAGTAAAAAGATCAGAATAAATGGCCATGAAAACCCTGATCATTCAGTTAATCACACTGATCTTAAACCGCAAACTTACGCATTCACCTGCTCTAATAGTTCAAATGACTGTCACGTCCCTTTGAAATTGTGACCAAATATTTGCTGACATTGAGGGAGCGTATGTCCTTTTCAGAGTGTTTGCTTGCTAGTTTCCACTAAACTGGCCTTCTTCAGAGAGCTGGTACACATGTGCCTGGCCTGCTGCCCTTAGATAAAGAACACACAGTGTTAGTGAGGGGGAAGGGAAATCGAAGCAAAAAGAGATAAGAAAAAGAAATTGAATAGAAACTGTATAGAATTAAGAAATGTTTACATAACAGCTTGTCTTTTTGCATAATGTGCATGGCACAAAACAAATACACACAGGCTGCCTGTGCCGGTTGAATCCGGGAGCCCCTTGAAGGATGTCTAACCAGTAATACTGCATTTAATGGTGAAATACAGTACGAGTTGTGAGAAAGTTGGCATTAAAGGGATAGTTCACCCAAAAATGAAAATTACCCCATCATTTACTCACCCTCAAGCCATTCTAGGTGTATATAACTTTCTTCTTTCAGATGAATACAATCGGAGTTATATTTAAAAATGGCCTGGCTCTTCCAAGCTTTATAATGGCAGTGAATGGGTGATCCAATAGTCCAATAGAAGTCCAATAAACTCCATCCATCCATCATAAAAAAAGAGAGTGGCATTTCAGCCGGATGACGTAGGATGTAGACGTAGCGTAATCTCCTGTGAGAATATGCTAGTCTTGCAAGAACCAAGTTTTGTTTACAGCTAAGGAAAACCAGTTTCCTCTTGGCTTAAATCGAAATCTTCCAACATTTTTCTTTACAAATCCTCAGTTTGTACTAATTCGTGACTGGTGTTTTGTTTTGCTCTCTCCTCTCAGCTTCTGCGTTCATCACTTCTCACCGGAGCTTACGCTATGCCTACATCCTCCACTGGAACGCCACTCTCTTGTGAACGTGTGTACGACAGTCAGCGGAAGCTAGAGATTACAGCTTATAAAGTTTTACAATTTTTCTTACAAAAACTCATCGATTCGCTTCAGGAGGCCTTTATTAAACTGCTAGTGTCATGTGGAGCACTTTTTTTTATGAGGGATGGACGCAGTTCATTGAACTTCTATTGGACTATTGAATCTCAACACCCATTCACTGCTATTATTAAGCTTGGAAGAGCCAGGACATTTTTTAATATAACTAATTGTATTCATCTGAAAGAAGAAAGTCATATACACCTAGGATGTCTTGAGGGTGAGTAAATTATGGGTTCATTTTCATTTTTGGGTGAACTACCCATTTAAGAGTGAGCACTGAAAACCATACCTCAGTGACAGGACCACCCAGAAGCAATGAAGTACAAAATGTCCCACAATAGAGGTGAGAGAGCAATTTACAAAGGAATTCGGTCCAATTTGAATCCTCCAGCAGAGGGTCCGGATAACTGATACACAACCTCTTCACTGTAAAAGAGGAAACACATGACATTTAAACAAGAGGGTGGAAATATTTAGAGAACTGCTCTTCAAATGTCAACCTGGCTGGGCCGATCTGCATTTATTTAATCATTCACAATGCATGCCAGTTTGTTTACAGTTCATAAAGCTGCCTTGCTGTCTGAGTTTCATGGTTTCTGTTACAGAGGTGGTCACATGGTCATGGTGGCAGTCAGAGAAAGAGGATTATGAGAGAATCCACTGACGAAACAGTCTAGCCAGATTGGGCATGCCCTGTATTGAGCCCCACCCCTCATAGTGTTATTAGAGAGCACTAGCAGCATCCTGCTCTCCCATCATCCCCGGCACTCACATTAATCTAAACATCTCAATCCCCAAAACCAGATCTGAAGCAATTCCATTAACCTGGGCTTTATGGAGGATCCACAAGAAAATCCTCAGCCCAAGAGGATGGCTAGTCCCACTTAAACCATCTCACTATATATCTACAGTCACCTAATCATTAAAACATAAGGGCATTATCACAGACTTTTAAATGAATTCACAGATAAATATGCATGTTAATACTACAATACACCGAGTTCATCTGGGGTTAAACGGTGCATTCTGTGCTTAAACAAACCCTTCAAAACCCCCCATGAGATGGAGAGAAAAACAGAGCAGGGACACCTGTTATATAATAATATTAACCTGTTAATATATATTTATATATATATATATATATATATATATATATATATATATAAAATGCCC